TAATTAAAGAAGACTGAAACAGTTTAAGAATCATTTAAAATACAAATGGAGAGAAAATATGTCAAATGCCCTCCCTTGTTTTCAGACAATCGGACTTTTTTCGGAGATAGATGATAAATAAGAAAAAGTCCTATTGTAAAATTTGTGCAACTTTTATTCCAGTCATTTCCTTTTTAGATAGACAATGAATTCTTTCTCATTTTGAAACAGTTATTGGAACGGGAATTTTCTCAAGGTTTTTTGATAGTAAAACCTCATCTCGACATCAGTGGGAAAATCAAAATATCAATTAAAGGGATACCAAATCAGTTTGATTCGGTTGATAAAAGAATTATGGCGACTGAACGCTTCCGGCGTAGATTGGAAAAACACCAGACTGACCTTAGCAAAAGCGATGGCGCGGAAAATTTTGCCAAGAATGATATCAATTTGTATTAGAAAATGTATACAAATATTCTAAATAGTTATCGATGGTCAGATTAAAAAGGAAATACCTAACTCAATTGATTTAGCTGCAAACATACGAGTATAACCTGTTAGAATTTTCCAGACTCTACACTTGAATTAGGGTAACATTGTGATAAATGTTGAAATAATAAAAAAAGAAAAAACAAGTATTTTCAAATTAATTATATAAAATCGATAGTACATACAAAAAAAACCTAGATATTATTAATTGTACTCGTATTATTATGGTTCAGTCTTTTATACTAATTTCTTAGGATTTTGGTAATTTTGTAGCAGATTTATACTTAGTGTTTATTAGATTTATTATGTGGAAAAAAATATTATATGAATTATCCAACTGTGTTAAAGTGCGTCCACTAACTAACTGTACTTAAAAAATTCATTCAAATTGAATTCGCCAAGCCACTTAATAAAGTAGCACAGTTATAAACCGGTGTTATTCCACGTAATATTAAATAATTCCCAATTACCAAGTGCACATAACACATTTTTATCTTTTTGTGAACGCATACTCATACAAAACGGAAGAGATCCACACCATATTATTTCACGCTCTGTAAATCAATTCATATATTTTTTTCCACCACCGCTTACAATAAATGTTAGTCTGAAGAGAATAAATGAACCCGAAGGGCCGCGTCCGGCATATTCATCAAATTTTTTCCACTTAAAATCTATAGGCTCCTAATGGAATAAGTCGCCGCTTCCTCGACATCCGTTACAAAACGTTTATAAATACGGTTAGTCTAACGATTTCAAGAATTATCATAAAAAGTCGTCGGGAAACGTAGAAAGTCTCGAAGTGTTCGATTGCAGATGGAAATTCTGGGAAGTGTGAGTCGGCGGTCAGCATTCCGGGACATGCTCACCCATATCTCATATAGAACCGTGGAAAATGACCGGAAATGGTAGAAAGGACAACTAGTTTTTTTATCTACCCGAGATAAGAACTGATTTGAGTGACTTGGCTTCAAGTTTAGTCGATAATCTGGGGGACTAACTTGAGTAAATGATACCACAAATCGATTGCAATTCCTGGTACGCATTGCGGTGCTAAAAATGCATTCGGATTTTTCCAGGTCACTCCGGAAATAAGATGAAGAGCTCGACAATTCATTATCGCTTGTTTCCCTCGGGTGTGTCCTCAACTTTCGGCTCAGTAATTTATATTTTCACCCAAATGTAAATTCGCATCGATTCTCAAGAAAAACATCGACTTTTTAACCTACAGAACCAGATATAAATAAAAATAATCTCCCATCTAACCTAAAAAAAGCGTTTCGTGCAAATCCAAACTCCTCATTTTTTATTCAAATCTGTCACATTTTAAGCAGTAATTACGACAAATTCAATTATTTGCATGAAGGAGAAGGGCTCGTAAATTTACGCTTCACAAGGTGGTTTGATTCCTTTCACCGAGTTCAACGATGAAAAAAATTTTGATTTAATAGATACCTTCTCCTTACAAATTTTGACAAGTCGAATCCGTGCTGGCCCCGGGCCCCGAATAGCTGAGGATAGTGAGAGTTATTTTGTTGTTTATGAGGAGCGAAGGAGGAATAATATAATCGGAAATTTGCAAAAATTGGCCCCAATTCCCAATAATTGGCACCATCGTACCGTTACTGGCATGCACCATGGTCAAGACGCTCGTGACGCCATGGTGCATGCCTTTTTAATTTTTGCGCGGAACGGGCTATGCAAATATCACGATTTTCACCGGCCGAATTAGAAACTCGAGGGAAACCCGAGGGTTTCTAATCGAAGGCACAACGAAAAATCATTTTGATTTTTTCATTGACTGTGAACTTGCTCGAGTTCGACCTTGCTCAAGCGACTTTCCTTTCAGAATAGATTCAGTTGCGTTATGGAATTTTAATCTCATGGGAACGTGATTAAATGCTGATAATATTTGTAGTGCTTTCTTTTTAGATTAGAGGTTTCGTTGTTGAAAACCGCAAACGTTGTCGAGCGATGGTAGAGCAGAGCATATGGTGAAGAGGAAAAAATTTAATGGCATATTGACAGTGAGTGACAGCTGGGGGCACAGTTCAGTGCTATAATGGGATCTCCCGCTGGAGTAAATAAAAATAAAATTCATTATTAGAAATAGGAACACATGTAAATCGTCGTAAATTGAATGCAAATCGATTTTTCACCGCATTACATGCTAATACTTTCCGGCTAATAATGTTTGTTTTGGCAATTTAACACAATTGGAAATCCTTGTAAAATTTACCACAGAAAATTTGTTTGATACAACCGATTGATACATGGAAACCCAAAAACAGCAAAATAACGATATGTTTTTTATAATTACAACTTCTCTTGAAATAATTTGTAGGTATAAGATTATTACAAGCTCGACAAGCCTTCTATAGAAAATTGAACTACTTTTGTCTGAAATTATTTCAAACCCAACAAACAAAACCATTAAAAATAGTTTTAAATTTATGGACGCGTTCTAGTAATTTTAGTTAAAAATTGTGTCAGAAAATTATTTAGGTACTTATTCACTTAACGTAAAACTAATTACTAAAAAAAAATTAAATAAATACAAAATGATCCACAATGACTGAATATGTTGGGAATCCTGACCCTAATTTTTAGAGTACGCTTTTGATTAAGAACAATTCAATAATCTTGTGGGGTTGTACGTCAAGTATTTGTGAAGCAAAACCGTATTCGGTTGCAGTGTTTCAAATTATTAACAAAAATACTTTCAAATCTGTTGGCAACAGACTCAGTCTTTCTGGATCACTTCGTATTTTGAACTTATTAAAAATAAATTACGTATGTATTTCAAACCACAACTGTAATTAAGATACAATTACTGTTGAAATCTCTCAGAATAATCATTTTTATCGTTTAAAAATGATTACTACCTCTGATATTACAGTGTGTCACCAGATAGGTGAAACGACTCTTGTAAAAGATAAAAAAAAATTCGATTCAAGTTTTCATTTTTTGGGGTTCAGCCCTGCTTGGTTAAAGACTATTTTCTCCGAATTCCCCCTTTCCAAGAACACACTGTATGTACAATCGCATGCAATATATTTTGGTAATCAATGTCATTAATTATCAAACTTATTTTAATAGAATTTAAAATTCATGCCATAATTTCAACAATAATACCTAGAAAGGCAATCGATGTTTAAACTATATTTGACTTTTTGAGACAGAAAAATCAATCACAAAAATAAATTGCAAAATTTCTGACATAAAAGGATATTTTTTTGTGACATTGACGATGAAAATATATCCATATATTGCACGCAAATGTACCTATATTATTACAATTATAGTTTGTAATAAATAAAAACAAAAGTTACAAATAATTGATTCAAATTATTGATAATAGCATTTGCAATTATATAAGCAATTTATCAAATTCTCTAGATATTCCTAGTGAAACGTAATTACATATTATCAAGAAACGCATTAATTCTAATTAAGTGAGTTAATTATTATGATTGAAATTTAAATTGAATTATGTTTTTATTCAGCCCTTAGATATAAAAAATTCTATACAGGCCCTTCATAATACTCGTAAGTCCTGCAAACGGAAACGCGATTTACAAAAACAATAGTTTGCGTGTACTCTCCATTGTTAGTCTTGAATAATAAATAAATCTTTTATCCTTTATTTCGTATAAAGGGGCTGCCGCTCTTTTTATTCAATTTTTGAAAGTGCAGCCAGAGGCAAAATCGACAAATTAGCACCTTTTAAAATTGGAATTTCTCAAATTCTTTCCGGTTTATTCTATAGATGTCTACACAGTGAAGAATAGACACCTCGGGCAGTTGATGATTATAGTCATTTTTAATATGGGTCTATTGTTACAAACCTGAAAATTTTTTCAACCTCTTCTATAAAAGCTTTCAAATTGTACTAAAAGATGTAAAACCAGAAAAAAAACACAGTTCAAACGGCACGACGAATTAATGTTTTTAAAAAACATTGAAAGAAGATGAAAAAATTTTGAGCAAGAATTTGATACACTAAGATTTTTAAACCATAAAACTTGTGTTGTCTTCAAATTTTTTCCCAACACAAATATTGAATCATAAATTTTACTAAATTCCAATTCCAAAATGCCAAGATAAGGGTAGTTTATATACTTATAAAAGACATTGTGATTGACGACGTATTTTATAGAAACAGGATAAGATATTAGTGTTGGAAAAATGTACAAAAAAGTATAGTTTAAAAAAATACGTTAGGCAGGCTTTATATGATTTTTTTAAACGAATACGAATTGAAAGATTTGTAGGTAGGTATAAGATAATATTAATGTTGCAGATGAATATCGAAATATACAAAAATTACTTTTTCAACATCAAGCTCTTAATTCTAGTAAAAATATTTTTTTTAATTGTTCATTATAAATTTGAGAAATTTAAAATCGAATAGATAATTTAAAAAATACTGTAATTGGGACATTTATTGCAACGCAGTTTTTCCTAAAACAGCATCTGAAATTTATTTTCGAGTTTCTAACAGTTTCCAAAATTTTGAAAAAAGCTCTTACCTCTTTTTGCTGTAGCCAACTTTGTCAAGTTCGATGTGTCTATAAGCAGCGTAAGTGGCCATGGTCACTGGCAAAGAAACGACAAGTGCAAGTAGATGCCGGTAAAAACGGAAAAACGCGCTCAGGTTTATAAGCTCTCGCTGCAAATGCCAACAGCTGACTGCCAGCTCGAGGCAAAGTAGTCGCTTTTATAGCCGTCGTGTGCATTCATCCATGCTTGTATTATTGTTTCACCACTGTTTCTGGATTTTCAGTTAATTCCAAAGGGTGGATTTCAAGTCACCCTTGTAAGAGGGGCACTGATTTGGTTTCGGTCTGCGCCAGGCGGGGGTTCAGGTTGCGCCCATTTTTCTAACAATTACGATTTTTGCAGGAAATGCTGCTACAATGCTACATCACGACAAAAATGAATGAAAAAGAGAGGAATGCGGGCTTCGACTGCGAGAAATTCTCACACAGCAGGAATAGTCGACTTCGGGTGGATAGTGACAACTAGACAACTAGTGTCGCCGAAACGCGGTTCACGGGAATGCTTTGTCGTTAATTTGATGTATGTACGACGTCAAAGGCAGAAATTTTGACTCAGAAGAAACAGCTAAAAACTTTTATGGGTCAGTGATGAAGATTCAAGCTTCGAGGAAATATGTACTTATAAAATTTTATGGATGAAATATGTATTTTATGTCGACTTTTTCTTGCAGCTCAGCCAACATAAATAATTAGTTCTAGATTTATAAAACAATACACGTTTTGGGTAGATATGACTTCCACTACGATAAGATATATTTTGTCTTTATTTGTGATGGATATTTGAATCCAAATTGTAACAAAAAATATTTTTTTTATTATGATAATTTGTCTAAAAACACAACGGATAGAGTTAAATATTTTTAGTTTTTAAATGAATATGTTTTTTTCAAGTTTTAAGCTTCTTTCTCTAAACCCTAATTGTCAATGCAGTATTTTACCTACTATGTATTACTTGTGGAAATAAACATTTAGAAAAGATGTGCAAGTAATCGAATACCTGCTATGGTATTAGTAAAATACTTTCCTAATTGGTAGAAACAGAGAGATAAACGCTCAGTAATTTTCATTCAATATAGTATTCACAAATTATGTTTGTGAAAACGGATATTTATTTTGCTTTTTATTACTGAAGAATGTTATAAAATATCAGTGCTGAAAGCAATAATACTTGTGCAATTTACATCTCTTCTGAGAAAACTACGTGCTTTAATTTTTTTGGTTTTTGAGTATGAAGAGTAAGTAAGTACTCAAAACAGAATTTGTTTTATGTTTTAGTGAAAATTTAAAAATCACAGAAACAACAGTTCAAAAAACTTAATTTTCTTTATTTATATAAGTACAATAAAATTTGAATTACAAATCATTTTTGAAGTCAAGTGTAGGTATCGTTTCTTAAATTTTGAAATATATTTATTTTTACACTTGTATATCGGAATGAATACTAAGGGAGAAAGAGAGGGAGAGAGAGAGAGAGAGAGAGATATGTCAAAAAAATTGATTTGACGTTTTATTGTGTCAAAAATCACAAATCACAATTTACCAGAAAGTACAAAATAAAATACAATACGTGTACATTTTGCTAAGCCTTTTTCGTAATACGTGATTGTTATTTGATCATTTACACGCTTGTTATGGCAACGATAACAGCCGAGGCCGTTAAAAAGTTTAACGGATGGGTTGACAGACGTTATTACGAATGTAACAAATTCGATTTAACAAACTTCAATCTTGTCTGTTATTCGCTAGATATTGGCCTTATTACGTTAATAACTATTACAGTACTCATTTTGATATTTAAGACTCGGCTTCTTCGACGACTCGTCTCATTCGTATTGTAATATCCGACATACCGGGCTTGTAACTTAATATTGTATTACTTACCTTATAATAAATAGCATGTGCTTGTTTTACTAAACTCATAAAAAATTGAAACAATTTTTTTTTTTTGAACTTTAAATATTAATATTTTCAGCAATTATGATTTTCCAATCATTTTCGGTGATTTTACAAGACAGAGACAAGATTTTTTCACACTAACAAGTAACAATCAACTACATTTAATGAGAGACAGTCTAATTTGCACCATTTGAAGCTTACTTTGCAGTTTCTAAAGTGTATATATATTCTTTCTTATTTAACTTGTAATGAACACGGTACCGAGTTAACTAAGTTAACTTCCTGTCACGTACACTATCGGTAAGCAAAATAATTCTAATATTGATACTCCCTAAGAGCTTCCGTAATCAAAAAAAAAGCTGAACTTGTTAAAATTAGTTAAAAATCTAAAACGCTATTACTATTTCCTTCAGTGTCAAAACGTCAAAAATATATTTAGTACGAGTGAGTATTTATTGTTATATTAACCCAGGTTTGAACTTAAATTAATTTGTTTTAAATCATTAATATAAAAAGAAAAATTTATTTACGTATTTATGCTTATACTCTTTAATAAAATGGTAGTTGTACTTGTTTAATTATACTAAAATGCAACATCAAGTTGCATGATTTGTGGAGACGACAAATTGAAATGAACCTTTGTATAGATTCAAATATGTAGTAGTAAGAAGAAATAAAATTCTTGGAATGTCTAGAAAACGATTTTACGTCACGTATTCTAAATAACCTAAGAAAAAAATTATATTTTTTTATATAATGTTTTCTTTCGTTTAGATAAATTTTGTATTTATTTATAATAAAAGCAGAAGATAATATATTATAATAGAAATTCAAACATCTGAAATAAATATATAAATGGTCTAAACATGAAATCGGATAGGAATGTTTAATTATTCTGTAACTATTGAGGCGTAAAAACTAGAGAAAGTGTTAAATTAGTAAATCTGTTTTTCGTCCTAATATTTATGACCTCAGGTCTTTAATTCGCTTTAAGATTCCATTACGATCAATCATACCTCAAATTCGTCACGTTTTTCATGTTCCTATATGTAGGTTTATGGAAAAAGCATGCGGAATTCCACGCTCGGGCTTTATCTTAATGAAATAAGATAAGAAAAAAGCAACTTTTCCGTATGAAATAAAAGTAAGTAGAACCCATCCGTTATGGCAATCCTGTTACGACTTTATTTATTATTGTCAAGTCATGTGTGGATCCGCACATCAGCTGCATTAAACGCACTTTCCTTCCTCGTTCTCTTTTGCTCTAGCAAAATTTAATTACGTCATGAGAATAGTCAACCCTATAATTATTCCGGTGTCAATGTATCACAATGAAGGCCGAAATAAGACCGACACGTACAAAATGTCAACGCGCCTACAGATTGCCACTGGTCAACGCACGTTTCAACGTTTTTAAATTCCGAAACGTCGCTTTATTTACGCTTTCAGTCCATGAACCTCAGACTTAGAATTAACCATTTTAATTGCACTTCCGCAACAAAGTTCTATTAGCGGTGCAACAGTTTTCAGCAAACAACAATTTTACGACTTGTTATAACACTACGAGTGTAATAATTGATTTTGTTGAAGAAAGTATAGGCAATGGAAAACGGCAATTAAAGTGAAATTGTTACATATAATAGTGCGACACGGTTGCACAAAAGGCGAATGTGTGAAATACGATCTAATTTTTTTCTATTTCTACCTTCTTTCATCTTCTATTTTTGTTTGTGTAAATTACACCGTAACGCTTCATCAAATTCTTGCTCTGGATAGAAAATAATCATGCCGATATGGTCTGGGTGGTTTCTGTTATGCTTACTGAACACTCATCACTCCGAAGCCAATTATTATATTGAGAAGATACAAAGATTATGATTTTGTGGATTTGTACCGGGAGATAAGGGCAACTGGGAATTAACTGTTCTCTACGTTCTAAAAAGAAAAAAAAGGGAAAAAACTCTAAACAGCACTATTAAAACAATTTCATTTTTGAAGCGATAATTGTTTATTGTTTCTCAATAGAAAAAATAGTTAATTTGTCTTTGGTAATAACTACTTCCAAATAAAAGAAAATTGTAGGAGTGGCACACATAAATTAAGGCGTGCTGGGATACTTGATTATAATGATATACATCAACAATCATCCATTTAAGATGTCCTTTAATTAGGTATTGCGTTTTATAAGCTTTACATGCATTTGTCCATGGTGCAAGTAAATGATTGCTTGTGTTGGCTCGTTTGGCTACTCACGAGGAATCTGAGAGTTAGAAAATGTTATTAATTTGCAAAATCTGTGCTTTAATTATCCGCCACAGTCTCATTTCCTCTTTTTATTACATATGACATGTTCATGAATCTCTAAAATTCTTTCCATATTATCTTCTCTCGTCTCACTCAACCAGGAGATATAATATGCGAATAACAATTCTAGCTGTTATGATAATCGTGCAGATTTTGTTTTAAGTCGTATTAACAATAAGAATTTTTCAAAATGAGATGAAAATAATTAAATATAGCAATTTCAATTTAAATAAAAAACATTTTTTTAAATTTTGAACAATTATTATTAATTAACTATTAAGTCAAAACTACTATTTCCTAACCTATCTATCTTTTAATTTCATTTTGTAGACCTAAGGAATGTAATAAAAAATAACTCAGCTACTGGAGTGCTCAAAACTGACTGTAGTCAGTTTTAGGTATAGGGGAAATCAAGTGTTAAAACCTCTTTAAAATTTTAAATAACTTAAAATAATATAGGAAATAGAAAACCTAGACAAATTTTTTTCTTTGAAGAAATTTTATGTTTATCAAATTATTCTAATCCGAGACATCTATTTCCTGAAAGCTCTCTGTAGAAGTGCGCTTTGTTCTAAGGAATGATTCATTCTCTCGGCACCAACATTCATTTACGATGATGTACCCTTGCTCCGTGGGCAGACAATTCAATTCATTATACAAGCGCAATTTACTCTGTAAATTTTTCATAGACTTCTCCTGACAAAAATTCCAATCACGAACGTTTCCTGTCATTACCTGCGAAAAACCTCCGATTTTATTAGGATCAAAGCTCGTGTCTTGAGCAACTCTTCCGTCAAGTGCTAATTATAGTTTCTTTACGGTGCGAACTGGTAATTACAATGGTCTGATCTGACGTTATGTTATTACAATAATCTTCTATCTGGACAGGATTGATTCGTATGTTGGCGGCTAGATTTTTGCGACATCTGACGTTAGATT